TGCGGATGACGCGGATGATGCGGATGATGGTGTTGATGACGAGGATGAGAAGGGGGAGGACGACGACGAGGAGCATGAGCATGGGCCTGATCATTATAATGGAAAGAGCGTGTTCTACCGCTGCTGGCGGAAAAAAACCGGGGGGGGTCACTACCGGTTCGAACCCCTCCTCCCCCCCCCTCCGGAAAACCGGGGGGGGGTCACTACCGGTTCGAACCCCTCCCCCCCCCCCCAGTTCATCATGAAAAGGGGGGGGGGTCACTACCGGTTCGAACCCCCCCCCCTCCCCCCCTCGACCCCCTCGAGCTCGAAAACCGGGGGGGGTCACTACCGGTTCGAACCCCCCCCCCCCTCGAAAACCGAGGGGGGGTGCGGACAGTGGTGGGGACGGTGGTGGTGGGGACAGTGGTGAGGGGACAGCGGGACAGTGGTGGGGACAGTGGGACAGTGGTGGGGACGGTAGTGGTGGGGACAATGGTGAGGACAATGGTGGGAACAGTGGGGACAGTGGGACAGTGGTGGGGACGGTGGTGTGGGGACAGTGGTGTGGGGACAGTGGGAATGTGGTGGAAACAGTAGGACAGTGGAGGGTACAGTGGTGGTGGGGACAGTGGTGAAGGCGGTGGCGAGGACGGCGGTGGGACAATGGGACAGAGGTACAGTGGGGACAGTGGTAGGGACAGTGGGGACAGTGGTGGGAACAGTGGGACAGCTCAGTGGTTCGAACCGGTAGTGACCCCCCCTCCGGTTTTCGAGAGGGGGGGGGGGTTCGAACCGGTAGTGACCCCCCCCGGTTTTCGAGCTCGAGGGGGGGGGGGTTAGGGGAGGGGGGGGGTTTTGCTGGGGGAAGGGGGGGGGGGGAGGGGTTCCAGCAGGGGGGGGGATTTTCGGAGGGGGGCGGGGGGGGAACCCCGGGGTTCCGGAGGGAAAGGGCGGCAATTTTCCACAGTAAAGCGGCGGTGGATCACGCTCTCTCTTATAATGCTGATGCTGATGCTGATGCTGCTGATATCGGTGATGCTGCCAATGATGACGGTGGTATTGCCGATGATGGTGACGATGATGATCATCATGATGATGATATTGATGATGATGCTGATGACGATGAGGATGATGTTGCTGATACTGATGATGATGATGATGATGATGATGGTGATAATGCTGACGGTGTCGATGATGATGGTGATGGTGATGGTGATGATGGCGATGATGATGATGATGATGATGATGATGATGATGATGACGATGCCGATGATGATGATGATGATGATGATGATGATGATGATGATGATGATGATGATGATGATGATGATGATGATGATGATGATGCGATAATGGTGATGCTGATGTTGATGATGCTGCTGATGCCGATGCTGTTGATGATGCATGTGATGGTGATGATGATGCCGATGAGGATGCTGATGATGACGATGCTGATGTTGATGATAATGATGACGCTGATGATGATGACGATGATGATGATGATGATGATGATGATGATGATGGTGATGACGATGCTGCTGCTGCTGCTGCTGCTGCTGATGATGATGATGATGATGATGATGATGATGATGATGATGATGATGATGATGATGGAGGGTGGATAGGAGGAGAAATGGAAGATCCCTCAGCCTTCCATATAGTCTTTGCTGGTTCGGGTGGACTTGTTTCAGAGTTGAATTTCTTCAAGTAGCCATTTGGTATTGACCTGTCGAGGCCCTGGGGGATCCTCCTCGAACTCTCCAGGGGAACTCTCGCTCGCCTCCCTCCTCCCCCTCCTCCCCCTCCCCCTCTCCCTTCCCTCTCCCTCCACCTCTCCTCCCTCCTGTCCCTCTCCTCCCTCCCCTCGCCTCCCCTCCGCTCCCTCCTCCCCCTCCCCCTCCCCCTCCCTCCTCCCTCTCCCTCCTGCGCCGCGCGACTGCGCGCCCGTCGAGCCGCGGCGCGCCCGGCGAGCCCTCGGCAGCGGAGAGCCCGGCGGCGCCCCGCCCTGAGCTCCACGAGCCACTCACATTCCTCCTCCTCCTCCTCCTGCTCCTCCTCCTCCTCCCTCCTCCTCCTCCTCCTCCTCCTCCTGCTCCTCCTCCTCCTGCTCCTCCTCCTCCTCCTGCTCCTCCTTCTCCTCCTCCGAGCCAGTGCGCCTCGAGCTTTTGGCGATCCGCGCGGGGGGGCCTCGAAGAAGAAAACACGCTATAACGCTCTTGAATCCGCGCTGGGGCCTCCGGCGCCGCCCCCGGCGCGCTCCCCGCGCCAGGGAGGGGGGTCCAGCTCAGATCCAAGAGATCCGCGCGGAGCGCCAAAAGTTTGATGCTTCTGCTGATGGTTTCTTCTTCCAACCAAGTCAGGGGCCCTCGGGGCTCGAGAGTCGACTGCACGTACCAGCGTGAGCTTACCAGCCTCGAGCTTACCCCTATCCCTAAGATTGACGCGCCGAAAGGCGATGACAATCTCAGGGATGCGCCCTCAAAAGATAAGGGAATCCCTAAGATCGGCATCGTGATGA